ACTGGGTCATGGTATAAAATTTTAGTTACTTGGCTTGGTTTGAGAATATTTTGTGGGGAATTGTTGTCTCCATATACATATTGATCTGTAGTTTTCTTGTGATGCCTCTGTCTAGATTTGGTAAAGAGTAATGTTGGCTTCATAAAATAGAAGGAAAGACTTCCCTACTATTCCAATTTTTAGAAGAATTTGTGAAATATTAGTATTAACTCTTCTTTAACTGTTTGGTAGAATTCATCAATAAAAACTGGGCCTGGGCTTTTCTTTGTAGGTAGTTTTTTGAATTACTAATTCAATCCCTACTTGTTACAGGTCTATTTCTTCTTGAGTAAGTTTTAGTAATCTGTGTCTTTCTAGCAATCTGTCCATTTTTATCTAAATTATTTGTCTTTAAAAAGGTTTTAAGTGTTTTAATTAGTGAATTATAGTTATACATAATATTGGGATTCATTTTGACATAATCATGCATGCATGGAATATAATTTATTCCACTTCAATCTCCAGTACTTCCTCTTTCTCTCCTCTCCTTCTTCCCATTGCCCATCTTCTATTCTACTGGTCTTCCTTCTATTTATTTATAGTTATTTTTTAAAAAATTAGTGCTTTAGGGGCTGGGATTGTGGCTCAGCCATAGAGTGCTCACCTAGCAGGTGTAAGGCCCTGGGATTGATCCTCAGCACCATATAAAAATAAATAAATAAATAAATAAATAAATAAATAAATAAATGTATTGTATCCAACTACAACTAAAATATAAATATTTTAAAATAAAAAAGTAAAAAAATTTAGTACTTTATAGACATAGAGAAAGGTGAAATTCATCATGCTAAGTGTAATAAGCCAGATTCATAAAGTCAAGGTTTCAATGTTTTCTTTCAAATGTGAAAGCTAGACCAAAATAAGGGGGAAAAAGGAAGGGATCCCATAAAAATAGAAGGGAGATCACTGAAGCAGAAGTAGAGGAAAGGATAGAGAGGGAGTGGGGAAGGAGGAGGGAGAGGAAAAGGAATGCATGGTGGAATGAAATTGACCAAATTATATTATGTAAATTATCTTTTATTGTCATCCAAATGTTCACAGAATTCATTCATAACGTTTTATTTCTATAAAATTGGTATTAACGTTCCCTGTTTAATTTCGAATTCTAGTGATTTGCATATCCTCTTTTTAAAAAAATATTTATTTTTTAGTTGTAGTTGGACACAATACCTTTATTTTACTTATTTATTTTTATGTGGTGCTGAGGATCAAACCCAGGCCTCATGTTCAAGGCAAGCGCTCTGCTACTAAACTACAGTCTCAGCCTCCTTTCTCTTGCTTATATCCTACTCCTCCCTCAGAAGATACCTACTGATTGGCGCTATGGGGAGAGGGAGTTCTAAGTCCTTGGCTGCCCCAATAAGGAGGGAAGTTTCTATGTGTCTGAGTTAGAAGAGATGGGGTAGGGGGTCTTGGCTCAAGTATCAGCACAGAAGCTGATATGCTCCAGTTCAGGAGAATCTTTTCATTTCCTCTTTTCTGAAACTAATTATTTGGTTGTTGAACTTCTTGAATATATCCTCAATTTTGTCTTTTCTTTCCTACTTTCCAACTCTGCCTTAAGGGGAAAATAGAATTTTCCCTCACTTACCTCTTCCATATGTTCTGTTAAAAGTTAGAGGCATTCCTTGAATGCCTATAAATCTTAGCTATCTGGTCATATTAAAGTCAGGTCCTCAAATGCTGACTTAAAGTCCTATTTCTAGCTTGAGAATCGGAGGAAACTTGTTGACTGGTGGGTTTCATTATAAAATAATTAATTGGGCAGAGCCAGATCATTTTAGAGGGTAACCTCCATGGTTGGTGTCTTTCTTCTTGAGCTGGAGTTTCCATGCATAATCTCATCTCCTGTCTGGGAGGTAGTGACTGTCAGTGTGCTAGGAATCAAGGAGCAAAGGGAGTTTGGGAATGGAGGAATATTCATCGTTCTCATATGTAGAATTTAAACTTTCCCTCAGTATGGTGCTCACCCTCACCTTCAATTGCATTTGACATCCTTGAATCCAGAGATCTGATAGTACTACCTCTACAAAGAATAAACTCTAGTCTTTGACTGGGCAGGAAAATGTCAGTCTGTTGGTTCTGTCACTCCTAGAGGGACAGTTATTATAATAATAATAATACTCAATATTTATTGAGAGGTTACTCTATGCCAGCAGTATTCTAACAAGTTTATAGGAATTAAATCATTGAATTTGCTCACAAAATATCACTAAAGTAGATTATATTATGATATCTATTTAACGGATAAAGAAACTACAGTAAAATGTGGTTATAACTTTGGATGATTTTAACACTAGTGAGTGACAGAACTCGGATAAAATATAGGCAGTCTGGCTCAAGGTACAGCTTCCTCTATTTTGCTGGGTCAGTTATCATTGTCCATCTGTTTTCTAACTTTTAAAATTTTATTGACATCTTTCATCTGTTGTCATTTCCCCTTTTGGTTCTTGTGATTTTTATGCCTTTTCTATTACTTTATCATCATTTTACTGAGGTTTTAAAAGGAGTGGGCACCAATTAATAGTCAAGTGAACTGAATAGACACTTCTCAAAAGAAATACAAATGACCAACAAATACATGGAAAAAAAATGTTCATTATCATTAGCAATTAGGAAAATGCAAACCAAAACTACATTGAGATTTATTCTCACACCAGTCAGAATGATAATTATCAAGAATACAAATAACAGTAAAAGCTGAAGAGGATCTGAATAAAAAGGAACACTGTTACACTGTGAGATTGTAAATTAGGACAACCACTACAGAAATCACAATGGAGGTTGCTCAACAGATTAGGCATGGAACTGCCATATGACCCAGTTATATTACTGCTTGCTATTTGTCCTAAAGAATTAAAGTCATCATACTATAGTGATACATGCATACTCATGTAGCACAATTCACAATAGCCAAACCATGGAACTAGCCTAGGTGTCCATCGATAAATGAATGAATAAAGAAAATGTGATATACATACAAAATGGAGTTTTAAACAGCCATAGAGAAAAATAAAATTATGTCATTTGCAGGAAAATGGATGAATCTAGAGACTATTATGTTAAATGAAATAAGCCAAATTCAGAAGGTCAAGGGTCATATGTTTTCTCTCATATGTGGAAACCAGAGAGGAAAAAGAAAAGAAGGGGCAAGGGATCTCATGAAAACACAGAGAGATCAAAAGAGGAAAGAAACCAGGGGATAGGAGATGGGGAGAGAGGCGGGGAAGTGCTAGGGAGTGATATTGGCCAATAATTATACTGTAATATTGTGTGTACATACAAATACGTCACAACAAATTCCAGCATTATGTACAACTATAATGCATCAATAAAAATGTAAAAGAAAAAATATTTTATAAAGTAAAATTATAAAAAACTAAAATAAATAAATAAGGAGTGGGCAGGAAAGCATGTCCTTCATTCTTACTTTCATTCTCCTATTCTTTCCTTGGGTACCCAATCCTGCTACTCTCAAGATTTCAATTACTGCAGTGTAGATGACACCCAATTTTTATCTTTAGGCCAATCCTCTCTCCTAAGCTTCACTCTACATATTCAAGCACCTACTAAACATTGCACTTGAATGTTGTATAGACAACTTAAGTTTCACAGATTTACAAGCTTAAACTTGAATTTATTACCTTCAAATCCTTACCTTACATTGAGGATTTCAATTTCAATCATTATAATCCATGGAGTTCCTAACCCAAAAACCTAGGGGTCATTTTTCAGTTTTCATTCTCTAACTAATTAACTAATTAGTTATAAGATCCTGTCATACCAACCTTTAATTTTTTATGTTTACAACTCTACCAGGGAGGAAAAACTATTCCCACATACTTTTCCATTTAGCCTGTAGAGTTGATTTTCCATACTGTTGCTAAACTAATCTTTCCACTCTTCTGTCTAACCAATTTGTAACATGAAATCCAAACCCTTTAACATAATATTCAAAGTCCTTCAAAATCTGGCTTCCACTTCCTTTTCCATTAAACCCCTACTCATTCTACCTATACCATTAGCACATTAAAATGTTTATGTAGTCTTTCTCTTTTCTTTAAGAAGTCTAAACCTTAACCCAATTAAATGGAGTTTCTGAAGAACATGTTCTCTTGCACCTTATTTATTTAATTAATTAAAATTAATTAATTAATGTAAATTATTTTCTGTTATTGGGGATTGAGCCCGGGGTACTCTACTACTGAGCTATATCCCCATACTCCCCTCTTTTTTTTTTTTTTTTTAAATGTTTCATTTTGAGATGGGGTTTCTTTAAGTTGCCTAGGCTGGCCTTGAACTCATGATCCTCCTGCTTCAGCCTCCCAAATTGCTGGGATTACAGGCAAATGCCATGAAGGCTGGCCTCTCACACTTTTATAACTTAACACATACTGCTTTTAACCACCTTGCCAAGACAGTAATGGGGATAGTATTTTACTCAAGAAACAATAAATAGATTAAGGCACATGTTAGTGGTAATATTAACAATAATAGCTATTAGGAATCAAATTAATATGTGTCAAGCACAGTGTTAGCTCATTTATATACACCATTTCCAATCCTCATAATTTTGCAAGGTTAGGAACAATTCTAAATTTATTGGTGCCTCTGAAGGTGAGATATCTGCTTAAGGACACAATGTTAATAAGCAACAAACCTCAAATTTTAATTTAAATCTGACTAAAATTCATGCTGCTTTCACACATCATGTTAATATTGGCGTTGGTAAGAGCTGGGAAATAAGAATGGAAAGGTGGATTGAGAACCATTCCTTAAATGAAGCCAAGAACAAAAAGCTAAAAATTGAATTTTTATTTCATAGGCATTGAGTAGTAGGTTGAGAAACAGAAACCGACTGGTTAGTTAAGGAAGCAAAGCTTTAGAAGGATGAATTTAACAATATATTTAGTGAATTGTAGGAAGAACTTGAAAGGAACGAAGCTGGTTAAAGCACTTACCTGCCTAATAGCAACTGTATAGCTCTGGTATCAACTTTTGTGTCATGTTTCCAAAATGTATCCTCAGTTGAAGGAAGGACATGATCTTCAACTTGATTCTTAGACAACACTCTGATTCTGAAGTGTGGAAAAATACTTTCTCACTAAATGGCTAACAGATGGGAAAAATCTGAATCATAATTAATTGAGCAAAAAAAGAATATTATGGAGCTGGTCTGATTCATAAAATTTATTACTTTAGACTTAAATGCCTTACATATATCTAAAACTTTACACTCTGTGAGATCTTTCCTACATCAGAACCCCATTTCATTTCTGAAAAATAGGAAGAAAATATCCCCATTTTATATACAAGCATTCCAGTTCAGAAAGAGCAGCAAAATTACTTATTTATACATTTATTAAGTATCAGTGCCAGTACTAGCATCTTAACTCCTATTTAGACTTCTTTATCACCTCATAAAAAATTATTTCCAAGATTGTCCAGGTCATAATTTAACAAGAAATACAGGTTGGGGGCTGGAGTTGTAGCTCAGTGGTAGAGTACTTGCCTAGCACATATGAGGCACTGGGTTCAATCCTCAGCACCACATAAAAATAAATAAAATAAAGGTATTGTGTCCATTTACAACTAAAACATTATATATATATAAAAACACACATATTTATTTGTAAAAAAAGAAACACAGTTAACAACTATTAAGAAAAATGAACTGCTGGGTTTTTGTCTATTCTGTAACTTACTGGGTTGATGGTCTAAGAGAATCTTCCTTTATTGGAGGATGAATTTTGTCCAACAACATGCTAGTATCTGGGCTTGATTTCATTGCAGAAATCACCATGGCATTGCGTAGTTTGTTACCTTGTTCTAACAGAACTGAAAGCAGAAAAAACAGAAAATGAAAACTCTGAAATCCAGCAGAAATATTTGCAACATTCAGTGTATTTCCTTCTATTTTCAGACTTACAACAAGGTTCTGTAATGGCTTACTTGTTCACCCTTCCCACTAGGCAAGAAAATTCCTTGAGGATATTCACTTAACAATAGTTGTTCACTGAGCTTTTATTTTTCTGTACTGTTTTAGATCTTGACATTGCATCAATAAAGTCTCTTCCGGAGAGAATAGCCTTCTTGTGGGAGTCATTAAATCCCCAGGCATTCAGCCAGGTATGGTGGTGCACACCTGTAATCCCAGTGGCTCTGGAGGCTGAGGCAGGAAGATCTCAAGTTCAAAGCCAGCCTCAGCAAAAGTAAGGTGCTAAGCAACTCAGGGAGACCCTGTCTCTAAGTAAAATACAAAATAGGGCTGGGATGTGGTTCAGTGATCGAGTGCTCCTAAATTAATCCCTGTTACCTCCCTGCCCACCTCCCCCAAAAGATATATAAGTCCCCAGGCATTCAGTTCTTCCAACTGGTATTTGTACATAATAAGTGTTCTACTTTATTCTTAGTTATTATTGTTAATCTCTTTCTGTGCCTAATTTATAAATTAAATTTTATCAAATACATGTATGTATAGGAAAAAAATAGTATATATATAGGGCCCAGTAATACAGTTTCAGGCACCTATTGGGGGCCTTGCCTTACAACAAGAATTTCACTTTCAATCATTATAATAAAAGGCAATTACTGTATAACCAGAATGACTCCCCATTCTGTGCTTTTATCCACTTTACTCTATCTATATGATCCCACTGTAGTTCTTTGGCTTCCCTTTAAAAACTGAGGACCAATGGTATTATTCCATGGAACATGGGAAGTATATAGAATTCTATATTTGCTTAGAAGGTAAATGAGACAAAAAACCAAAGTGTCTACTTTCTAGTCTAGAGTTTTATAACTTATGAAAATGTGGTGGTTAGTCCAAGAAAAACAACCACAACCCTCAAAATGTGCCAAAGAGATCCATAAACATCTAACATTCATTACTATAATAAACAGATCAAAATAGTTTTAAAACTTGAAAAAAGACCCCCAAACTTAAATATCATATCTTCAATGCATGATGTGAGAATAAAAGCAAACTAAACCAAATAAAGCTCATCCATTGTGGTAAACAGAATTCAATGTCTCAGCCCTTTGTGTACGCATAGCTTTTCCTAGTGATTCACACACTCATCTAGGAATTATTTCAAAGGGATTCTGAAGATATAATTAAGGCTCCAAATCTGTCAACTTTTAAGATAATCTGATTATCTTGGTAGGCTGGACCTATGATACATATGACCTATCTATGCATATATATGTCTGTATATATATATGCATAGATATAATTTAAATGGAAGACTTTAGTAGTTATAAACAGAATATACAATATGCCATTTTTGCAAAAGAATGGCATATTGTATATTTCTTTTGCAAAAATGGCATATTGTATATTCTGTTTTATAACTACTTCTGACATATAGAATTATGAGATAACAAATGGGTATTGTTTGAAGTGTCAAGTTTGTGGTTGTTTTGCAGCCATAGAAAATTAATATACCCATTAATATTACAAATCAAGAATACTGATTATTTGCCAGGCATGGTGGCACATGCCTGTAATTCCAGTGGCTTGGGAGGCTGAGGCAGGAGAATTGTGAGTTCAAAGCCAGCCTCGGTAACTTAGCAGGGCCCTAAGCACTTTTGTGAGACCCTGTCTCAAAAAATACAAAAAGGGCTTGGGGATGTGGGATATGGCTCAGTGGTTAAGCGCTCCTGGGTTCAATCCCTGGTACCAAAAATAGTTAATGATTATTAATATTTTGATGTGTCTTGTAGTTTTTATCTATGCATATGTGTGTCTGTATATCCATTTCTTTTGCAAAAATGGCATATTATAGATTGTGTTTTATAACTACTTTTCCACTTAACATACTAACTTTTTCTCAGTAAGTAATGGCTACACAGTATTATATTAAGAATTCATTTTATTTATTTTTTTATTAAAAGAAAGAAAATCTCTTTGGGATTCAGCTAGAAAACGTCTGCATCCCAAAGAGATTTGGCTTGTTTATTCTCTGAGAGAGGGTGAAGAAAACATGGTCTACCAAAATTGAAAATCTGGTTAGATATAAAAGTCTTCCATTTAAAGAACCTTAGTATGCAATAGGATGCTTTTCCTTTTAGTTTAGTTGATACTGGCTTTATTTGATATGGTTTAAAGTTCTTTAATAAGGTGGATAAATAAAGAGGTTAATGACAAGCAATGTTTGATTTTTAAGGCCATGTTACAATAACCTTTTCTTCTGATACTTAAAATGTTCCTAAGGAGGTAACAGCCTTGGTACTTTATTATGTATCCATATCTGTTATGATTTGGATATAAGGTGTCCCCCAAAAGCTTCTGTTAATGCAGTAATAGTCAGTGGTAACATGACAAGAACTGTAACCTAATCCTAGTTTGAATGGACTGATTAGATGGTAACTGTAGGTAGGTGGAGAATGGCTGAAGAAGGTGGGCCACTGGGGGGCATGCCATGGAAGGATGCATCTTCCTTATGGTTCTTTCTCCTTTTCCTGGATCTCTCCTTCCTTTAAAGACATTTTTGTTTTCTTTTGGTACTGTGGATTGAATCTAAGGGTGCTTTATCACTGAGCTACATCCCCAACCTTTTTATTTTTATTTTGAGACAAGGTCTCACTAAGTCGCTTAGGGCCTTGCTAAGTTGCTGAGGCTGACCTTAAACTTGTGATCCTCCTGCCTCAGTCTCCTCAGTTGCTGGGATTACAGGTGTGAGCCACTGTACCTGGCTGATCTCTGCTTCCTTGTTGCAATGAGAGAGCAGTTTTCCTTCATCAAAACTCTTCCCCCATGATGTGCTGCCTCACCCTAGGTTCAGAGCCCTAAAGGACTTGGCTATCTATGGAATGAGATCTCTGAAACTGTGAGTTCCAAATAAACTTTTTCCTGTAAATTGTTCTTGCCAGGTGTTTTAGTTACAGTGATGAAAAAGCTAGCTAACACAATATCTTTATTATCAGTTCCTTAAGTCAAAATATCTCCTCTGTGCTCTCAGAATCCCTGGTATTTAACTTTATCAAAGAATTTATCATGAAGTAATGTTAACTGTTGTTTTTACCTAATTTATAATTCTGGGTTGGTTTTTTCTGGTCTTTGTACTCATGGTATCTGGTACAGTGTCTGGCATATATCAGGCATTTGATAAAATGTTTTAATGAATACTTCCATTGCTGTATCTATTTATACATAATTGTGATTTGCTTTTAAATCTATCTCCTTTACTAAAATAAATTCCTTAAGGGCAGGGGCTAAAACATTTATCATTATAACCCTAAAATTAAGAACAAGACTGACACAAGACAGACACATGAAAAATAATGAATTGAGCTTATTTTTCATCTCTGATAAATAAAAACTCCGTTGGGAATGATAATATTGAAGAACAATTTATTGAGTCCTTTGAATCTGAATGGGAATTGGTACCTAAGATACTTTCCAAAGCAGGTTTTAAGTGGAATAAACATTAAGGAAGATAAATGAGAGAAATCTATGCACAAGTCATTAGCCTCCAAGTGGTTTCACTGTTGAAACAGCCATTTTTTGGAAAAGATTTTTTGATGTCATAAATCTTTTATGACATACCTTAGACTTAGAATATTTTATATTGACTTTTCAGCGAGAAGCTGGTATCTCACAGTATAAAGACTGTCATGGAATCTTCCTGCACCTTAATTTAATAACCACTTTGTGCACACACTAATATAGCACTCTGGCATGTTCAGGACAAATATTTCCCTTACTTATTTCCTACATGCCATGGGTACAGCCCTGGCTAAACAAGGTATGTAAACAAAATGTGTAGTTGGTATTTCAGAAATACAAGCTAGCTGCCTGAATCATTCCGCATCACTTCCCACTTTCTGGTATATTAGTACAATAAAGACCAGAAAAATCATTGGGCTTAGCTATTTATTGTGTCCCTCCTGGGACCTCAGCCCTAGTCCTATGGCAGTAGCCCAGTTAATCTTAGTTCTCTAGAATCCTGTGTTTGGAATAGACTTTTAAAGATTCCATCCAAATGTCTACTTGAAATTTAATCCAATATGCAAGAGGATCATCACATCTCCAGCCCATGCCTGACTATTTACAGTGGTGTAGAATTTATAACCTTTTGAAGTGGTCCTCTCACATTTTTGCATATGTCAGATTATTAACTCAGAGTCAGCTACCATCTGTTTTGTTCCATCTTTAAACCCACTGATCCTAGAAGATTATAGAAGAGGTTGCACATTGGCAGGCCAGGAGTTGTGCCTGGCATATTTTGTTTGGCTTGAACAATTGGCTAGTATAGTCTTTTTTTTAAAAATATTTTCGTAGTTGTCAATGAACCCTTTATTTAATTTATTTATATGAGGTGCTGAGAATCAAGCCCAGTGCCTCACACGTGCTAGGCAAGCACTCTACCACTGAGCCACAACCCCAGCCAAAAATCAGTATAATCTTGATTAAAATAATAATAATAATAATAAATACAGTCATGCCTAGGTAAACAATGAACTTACCAGGGCAGGGTGAAGCAGGGGGCTTTGCCTTAGGACCTAAGACAAACTGAGGAGCAACTGCCCCTTTTGACAAGGCAGAAGTTTTCTAACTCTTAGCCTATGTCTTCATTTTAAAATGGGGATATAATCCCTACCGCACAGTGGTTTTTCTAAGATTCTGGGTATAAAGCACTTTGAATAGTACCTAGCACATAATTAGTGCTCAATAAATGGTAGCTGTTTTCTCCAGGCTAAATAGCTCTTGTTGGTTCTTTCTCCTTATCAGCCTAGTTACTCTCCTTAGAAGGAATTTTTATGTGTTTGTGTGTGTGTGTGTGTGTGTGTTTGTGTGGTGCTGGGGTTCAAACGCAGTGCCTCACACATGCTAGTTAAGTGCTCTACCAATGAGTTACACCTCCAGCCTCCATCATCTTTAGATCTGTAATGCTACCTACTTAATGAGGCCTTCCTTTAATGCTGGGTGCTAAATAATCCCAGTGACTCAGGAAGCTGAGGCAGAAATTGGAGGCCAGGTTGGGCAATTTAGCAAGACTCTGTGAGAAACAAACACACAAAAAGGCAGGGGATATAGTTCAGTGCTTGAGCACCCCTGGGTTCAACCCCCTGTACCAAAAATAATAAATGATTTACCAAACCTACATAAAACAAATAAGTCTTTCTTTCACCTTCCTTGCTTCATTTCCCCCCATTTGCCATTATCACCATCTGATACTACGTATTTATTTATCTAGTTTATAATTTGCCTTCCCATTCAGGATATAAGATCCATAAGAAAGGAATATACGTCTTTTTAGAAACGAAATTAAACTGCTGTATTCCTGACACACAGAAGAATGACAAACATTTGGTAGATGCTGAACAAATAACCACTTAACTTTTTCCAAGTCTGGTATCCTAGTCTATACAAAATATTCCAAGTGTAACTCAACAAGCACTGAGAATACTGCGTCAATTTTCTTTCTTGTTAATGGAATCTTTGTGTTAAAGACTAAAATAAATGGACTATAATCTTGGAATATATTTTTTTAAAATAGACATTTCAGTTGAAAAACTATGAACAGAATGTTTTCTTCATTAAAAAAAAATACCAGGCTTGATACACAGCTCTGTGGTACAGTGTAAGGCCCTGGGTTCAATACTCAGCAACACAAAAAACAAGAACAAAAACAAACAAAAATCAAACCAGATGTCCTTACTAATATGAATTATGTACCTTAGTAGTTATTTAAAAGACTTTCCTATGAATGCTATAGATATTCTATTTTGGAAATTTTACTTGTGGGGATGGAAACAAATTCTTGTCATACTAACAATGTCACAGTAATAATATGGTATAATAAAAGCCAGTTAGTTGCTTTCATTGTACCACTCCCTAACCTGTGGTACTTAATTCTATTCCCATTTGCTTCCCACCCCACCCCCTCCAGTCTAAGCCCTTATATGGGTAAACCTGTCTCCTTTCTACTTCTATTTAGCGACACAGAAGTTAATTCCCAGGCTTAAGATTAGCAATTATGCTATGCACTGAATATTCTCATTAAGACTACCAGTTTTCAGAATGTGAAATGAATTTGGTACTATCCTCTCTGTACAACAGTAAAAGTAAATGGTGCTGATAATACAAAAAACATATATGTCTTGAATTATTTGGGGAAAAGTAAGAACTAATATTTTTCTCTGACAAAAACTACCCTCATATCCAATTTCTTTTAAATAGTTCCTTCCCCAGTCTGCAATTATAAGAAACTAATTTAGAAGTTCCTTGGTAGACATGGATGGAATTGGAGGTCATTAGGTTGAGTGAAATTAAAAGTAACAGAAAGACAAATAATGTATCTTCTCATTTATATGTGGAAGCTTAAAAGTTGATCTCAAAGTAGTAGAGAACAGAAGAGTGGTTATCAAAGCCTGGGAAGGGTGTTGGGGGAGGGACAAAGAGGAGATGATTAACAGATACAAGGATACAGTTAGATAGGAAGAATAACTTCTAATTTTTACAGTAATAATAAGATAACTATGGTTGATAATAATTAATTGAATATTTCAAAATAGCTAGTAGAAACAGGTTTGAATGTTCCTAACAAAGAAAGATAAATATCCAAGGTAACAGATATGCCAATTACCCTGACCTGATCATTATACATAATATATCATGCACTGAAATGTCCCAAAGTAAACCATAAATACGTACAATTGTTATGTGTCAATTAAAAATAAAAATGAAAAAAAAAAAGTTACTTGTAGGGCTATCGTTAAATGGTGAGAAATTCTAGACCACAGCAAGTCTTTTATTTAACTAGTTCAAACACAAGTCTTGGTTCTCCTTTATAGGTATGCTAATAAGCAGAGCAATCCCAATAAATATAGTTTAGTTTCTGTTCACAAATATATACACACCTGAAAGAAGGTCCTTGGTAGGGGGGTTGTTTGAAGAAAGAATGCAGGAGTCACTATGACTCTTGGCAACTGATCTAATTTGAGGCTGAAATTCAGAACTGTTGTGAAGAGACATCTGCTTCCGTGGTGCTTTGCCTTTTATAGTTACAGACTCTAAACTCTGTCCTGAATTAAGATGGTGCTGTAGTCCAAAGAAAGAATCCTTTATTGTATCAGAGTTCTCTACAAAGTACAAGTGGTCCTTTCCCCTATTTAAAAAAAAGGACATTGTCATCAGTATCTAATCCATTGTGGTAGCATGCCACTTTGTCAGAGTCAGTAAGAGGATCAGTGATGGCAATATAGCTTGGACTTTTGAAAGAGGTGACTTTCTTGCAATGTGACTTTGTAATACTGTTTCACATCTCTTAAATAACAGATGCTTTACCTAAAGCTGTGGGATTGAATCTTTAGTAAAACAATGAAATAAAGAATTTAGCACAAAAAGATGGGGGAACGGTGAGCACAGAGCCTGATATAAAGCAAATGCTTCATAAACAATTGAGAGAAAGATCTACTTCTCTTATTCTATTCTGTTCCACAAAATAATTCCTTTCCCTCTTTTCCCTCATGGACATCTACATATTATTTGGTCCTATTTATTTGTACGTTGGCTTCTCCACTAGATTGTGAATAGTCCCTAAAAACAGGAATTGTGAGGTTTTTTGGTTTTGTTGCTGGGCATGCTAATTATGTATTCTACCACTGAGCTACAATCCCAGCCTCGGGGACTGTGTCTTATTAATTTCTAGGCTCCTGATACTGAACCAGGACCACAGTGGGAATTTAAAAATTATATGCTGAATGAATCATGGTATTTCTGTCTTCAGTTTTTCACTTAACCACAAATGAAAGAAAGAAATCACAAGTACAATGGGAGTTAGCTGACATACTGGTATTAACTCTAGTAATTACCTTGGTGTGGTTGATCTACTACTGTTGGCTCCTAATTCTTTTCCATCATTTTTGAGGGTAGGTACCCCATGGGACCTTGATGGAATCAGAAACTGGGTTTGGCTGGATTCAGTATTCTCTCTGGATCCCTGCTTAGGTAAAAGCACATTTTCTGCCATGTCAGTGATAGGAAGAGGATTGTAGCTTTTGTAAGTTTCTGATAGAGGCTCCAAGGCAAGTGAAACCTGAAAAAAACATGTAATATATCAGAAATTTTCTTTAGCATCCACTAATTTTGACTCCCCTACTGCATATAAATTATGTTCCCCATTCCTTACAAGATTAAGTCTAATTTCCTGCCTACTTTAGATGCCTCATCTCTCACCATGCTCCCCTCTATTTCATCCCTTTGGCCTGGTCAGACCAATTACTTAGAGTTCTCTAAATGTGCCTTACATTTTATTGCTTTATATCTTTGTATATAAAATTTATCTTAACATTAATTCTTTATGTCCAGTAGAGATGTTATGTTCATTGCCTTCTTCATGTTTCTGCTTATTTGGTATCTACTCTGTTTCTACTTATTTGGTATCTACCCATCAAATACAACCAGCAAGTACTGAATACTATAGCTCAGGAACTCACCCAGAGAAGCTTTGGATAATATAACCCTATCAGGAAAGTATGCTATTCTAATTTGAAGACTAAAAGAAAAAAAAAGAAAAGCAGAGGCTTGGAGAAGATATTTGTATCTTTTATTTATCATCCTAATTAGATTATAAATTCCTTAAAGGCATGAATTTCCTTCTTCAATTTTTTAACATGGTTTTTCCTATTTTTTAAATATTTTTTTGTTTTAGTTGTAATGGACACAATACATTTATTTATTTATTTATTTGGTACCAGGGATTGAACTCGGGGGCACTCGACCACTGAGCCACATCCCTAGTCCTGTTTTTGTATTTTATTAGAGACAGGGTCTCATTGAGTTGCTTAGTGCCTCACTAAATTGCTGAGGCTGGTTTTGAACTTTCAATCCTCCTGTCTCAGCCTCTTAAGCCAATGGGATTATAGGCATGCACCACCATGCCTGGCTTATTTATTTATTTTTATGTGGTGCTGAGGATCAAACTCAGTGCCTTGCATGTGCAAGGCAAGTATTCTGCCACTGAGCTACAACCCCAGCCCCTTCAATTTTTTATTATTTATTATTTTTTAGTTGTAGCTGGACACAATACCTTTATTTCACTTATTTATTTTTATGTGGTGCTGGTGATTGAACCCAGGGTCTCGCACGTGCGAGGCGAGCGCTCTACCGCTGAGCCACAACCCCAGCCCCCTTCTTCAATTTTTGATTGACTAATTAATAGTACCACACTCTTGGTACTCAAACCTAGTACACTAATGAGAAGGCATGGCACCTTCCGCATTCTTCTCATTAGTTGCTGGGGAAAAATAAGCCCCTAGTTCTATGATGGAGAAGAGAGACAGTGAGAAGGGAGAAACACTAAAATTGAAAAAGAAGTTTCTATTTGATGTGGTGGCATGTGACTATAGTCCCAGATGCTCAGTAGGTAGAAGTGGAAAGATTGCATGAACCCAGGAATTTGGGGCCAGTCTGAGTAACACAGTGAGAAAAAGAAAAAAAATAAATTTACTTAGTTTTTCATTCCTTTAAGTTCACTATTAAAAGGGTTTTCAATCCTCAGAAAAACCCAAAGAAGAAAGCTTATTAGAGGATTAAAAAAAAAAAAGTCTAAAGTAAAACTCTGCAGGTGAAATTGAGGAATATATTCCAAAAGAAAGAATAGCAATATTGTAAGTTCAAGGTCAGAAAGCAGAAGGAATTGTGTAAGCAGCCCAGGAGAATCAAATAATGATGAATTATTGAACACAAAAATGAAAAATTGTAGTTATAATAAGTTTTAAGCTATCTCTGGGAAGGTCAATGGAATATTCTGTGTAGGGAAATTGCCAAGACATAAACCCAATAAAATATGCCTAGATTCTGATGAAGAGAATTCTGTTCATGAACCAGGCAATATACAATCCTTCAAATCTATTCATCATCAGATTTTCCTACAAAGACAAATGATAGGAATGTAGTGGGATGAATAATCTGAGCAATGGTTATTGTAATAGCATCACCTAAAATCCTGGCTGCCCAAATGCAAAAGTCAGGAAGTGTTCCCTTACCATTCATCACTTGCAAAGACTACCACTGCATTCCAGAAACAAAGGAGACACTGGGGATACAGTCTAAGTCCTGGCCTTAATAATAAACTGCTGACTGGCTACTGAGTTTTGTTTGTGCCTTAAGCATATCTGAATCATTAGCAAAACAACTCATGGGCCTATTCTACCATTGGTGAAAAGGCGAAAGAAATTCCAGGCATTGTCTACATCCATCTTACTAATCAAAATTTAAGGGCTGGCCTAACTCAGTTATACAAATATTGGTTGATACCAGCTCTGTGCAAGGCTCTGAGCTACCTGTCTGAGGCAAAGAGATGACTAAAACATGGATCCTAACCCAAGGAATCATATTATTTTGTAAGGGAACTTTAAGGTATTTAATATAAAATGGTGAGCACTAAGATAAGGATATGTATAGATGCTATAGGAATACTAAGAAGAGGTTTGAGCTTGGGAAAAGGTGAGGAAAGAGTACCAGAGATGGTTTCCAGGAGTGTAATACAAACATCTGAGTTAAGAATCTCAAACATGAGTAAGTTAAATAAAGCTGAGGGAATTTGAAGTAAAACCTTATAGGTAGAAGGAAGAGCATTTGTCTAAATTTGGAGACAGAAAACAGAATATTGTTCAATCAATTCCTATCCTTTGGATCTCTACTCTTAATCCTCTCTTTCCATAATGTACCAAATATAATCCTGCACGCATGTCCTCTATCTTCATTTCAGTTCACCTCAGTCGTCTCCCTGCCAATCATGGCTCACCCTTATGCTTACTCCTCTGCCAACTCCAATATTGAGCCCTGCAGCTTTTCTTTTTTACTTTTCTTTTTCTTTCTTCTTTCTTTGGGTGCTGGGGATTAAACAAAGGGCCTCTGTTATGGTTTGGATGTGAGGTGTCCCCCCAAAGCTCCTGTGAAGGAATATTCAGAGGTAAAATGATTGGATTATGAGAGCTGTCTCCTAATCAAGTCTATCATAGTTTGAAAGGTCTGACTGTAGGCAGGAGAGGCGTGGCTGGTGAGGTGGATCACTGGGGGATATATTCTGGAAGGATGCATCTTCCCTGTGGTCCCTCTTTCCTACTTTTCTGATTTGCCATGAGCTGAGCAGCTTTCCTTTCTGGGCCCTTCACTATGATGCGCTCCTTTACCTTGGGCCCAGAGCAATGGAGCTCATCATCTATGTATTGAACCTCTGAAAGTATGAGTCCAATAAACTTTTCCTCCTCTAAATTGTTCTTACAGGGTATTTTGGTCATAGTGACACAGAAGCTAACTAAAACAGCCTCACACATGCTAAGCACATGTTCTACCACCATAGCCAGATTTTCTATGTTATAAAACTATTTCATTCCTTTAATTGGACATATCTTTCTTAAAAGGCCCTCAGTTCTCTAAAGTCTTCTCCAATGGAAACTTCCACTTTCCAGGATAAGAAACATTGACTTACTTTTTTCTGATGCTATCTACACACCAGCACTCCTCTTCTGTTAAATATATCATTCCTCTTCTGAAGCCTACACCCATCCACATATACTATAAATATACCATATACTTCCTCCATCCCCAACAGAGCAACCTTAAGATGCTTACCATCCTTCTAGCAACAAGGTTCTTTTTAGCACTAAGTTGCCTACAATTATCTATTACATCTAAAACATCTAACAATATCAGAAATAGCAGTAAATCAGTATGTCTAATTTTCAGATTTATGCTGGTCAAGGTAGCATTTTAAAAAAATTAAATCACTTAACAATGCTTTGAAGAATTGCATTTCACATAAAAATATGAATTTCTGACTTCTCTTGAAAAATCAAAAGATCTAGCAATGCTAGGCCTCCATTCCCACGTGGCAAAAATTAGTTACAGCTGACTAATTGCTTTTGTCAGGATATGTATTCCAGCTGCAAATTCCTAACACGTCCCAAAGGGAGGCAGAATAATAACTGCTAGGGTTATAGTTCCATCTGGGGCCCTGTTTTGAAATTTTTTTATTTTAGTAAAATCAACATTTTCATAAATGTAGTTTCACAAGTGTTTTTTTTTTTTTTTTTTTTTGGGGGGCGACAAGTACCAGATATTGAACTCAGAGACACTCAACCACTGAGCAACATCCCCAGCCCTATTTTGTATTTTATTTAGAGAAAGGGTTACAATGAGTTGCTTAGCAACTCGCCATTGCTGAGTGTCATCTTCCTGCCTCAGCCTCTGGAGCTGAGCAGCTGGGGATTACAGGAGTGAGCCACCATGCCCAGCCACATTCACAAGTTTTTAACACAAGAATAGATACACATAACCAGTTCCATAATCAAGATACTTAACACTTTTATCACCCCAAATAATTCCCTTGTGCTATCTTTTTTTTTATAGCTACACCTTCTCCTCACCTCTAACCACTAGCAACCAGAGATGATAGTTTTGTCTTTTCAAGAATGCCATACCAATGGAACCATGCAGTGTATACTTGTTTAGGTGGGCTTCTTTCACTCAACGTGTTTCTGGGATTCTTCCATATGGTGTGGATACCCACAGTTAACGTGGCTTGTCACATTAACTTATTTTTCAAAAACTGAAACAGACTCGTGTTTTTGAGATAACCCTCTTTTGGTCACGGGATTATTCTCAATTTCCTATTTTCTTGGGGATTTTTAGGTCTAGGTACATGAGGGAAAATTGTTTTGAAGTTTTATTGTACTGTCCTTCTCTAGTTTTGGAATTATAGTGGTGCAGGCCTCAGAATAAGTTGTTTTCTATTTTTTGGAAGAGACTTACGTATAAGTGGTTCTATGTCCTCTTTAAAGGTTTGGAAGAATTTGCTTGTAAAGTGATCAGGGCACAAACATTTCTTTTTGGAAGGTTTTAATCTACAAATTCAATTTTTAAAAATAGTTACAGATCTATTCAGGTTATCTATTTCATCTTGAGTGAGTTTTGGTAGTGGATGGTTTTCAAAGAAATCAGCTTGTTTCACTTAAGCTGTCAAATTTGTATGAACACAGTTGTTTGTAGTATTTCTTTAATGTCTATGGATTCTGTCTTTCTTATAGTAGA